GCAGAAGCGGCAGCTCTTGCGGCTGCAGAGTCACGGATGGATACTTGAGGGATGGAAGGCTGTCTTTGAAGGATCGGTTTCTCAGCAGAACGATCTGGTTTCGCGTCAGGCGTAGAGAAAGAATTTGAAAGAATTGACGAGAGGATATTTGAAGGGATAGTGAGGGACGGGTCATCCTGCTGCTGTTGAGGTTGAGGTTGTTGTTGCTGTTGAGACTGAGTTGACTGTCGCCTTGAATCAATCAAAGCCGAAGAAGAGTGGGTGATTTGTTGTTTCTTTGAATTTGGCAGAGGCGTTGAAGTGGCATTGAAGTCTGATTCGTCGAGTTTGTTGTTTGGCAGGTCGGCAAAGTGCGGCTGAGAGCGATGGCGCGACAGAGTCTGTTTTTACGATAGTTTTTAAGTGAGTTAATTGCCGAAGAAGAAGAAGAAGAAGAGAGTTTACAGTTGAAGCGGGCGAGATTGAGCGCGACTCCTGATTTTGACCGAGATGGAGAGTGTTGTGGCCTGTCGAAGCCCACGTGTTAAAGCCGAGTTACTTGACTCCAACTCAATCCAAACCACTTCTCGAGGCTGTTGACGCCTCGTCTTCGAGTTCGCGTCGTAGTCGGTGCAGGTCAACAACATTCTCAACGCCGCTTCCATCGAGTAAATACGATACAAACTCAGATAGATCTCGTTCTATTCACTGGAATTAGAAGAAGGACACAGTTTGAAGTGCATACGGTTTGTGCTGCTCCTGTTTGGTGTCGTCATTGGACTGGAATAGTTTGTCCGAGAAAGTAGAAGGAACAAAGAGAAAGCACTTGCTTGGCTTTCCTCCTCTCAAAGAAAACCCAAAGAAAACCAACCAAATGCCTCTTGTATGACAGCAACCCCCTCCGATACTTCAACTGACACCCACTCATCTTTTCATCTTTTAAAAACAGAAGCCACAACGCCCCGCCTTTGTCGACCACCGCGGCCGCAGAGTTCCCATTTGTTTGTTTCTCCTCTTTCCTCTTTCCTCAAACTCAAAAGCAACAACTAACTTCACTTAAACCAGTGTCCCTCGCTGAGAAACGCCGCTTCCAAACACGCGCCTCGGCCCAGACTTTCAAAGCCTCTCGCCCGAAGACCCCCGAGGAACGCGAAACGGAGAAGAAGGACAACGAAGCTCTTGCCAAGGCGATTCTGAACATTGCTCGTGAGGCCGGTGTCAAGAGCATCAAAAACCCTGCTGGTTTTGTGAAGGAGTCCAAGGAGGCTCTCCGTATGTTCCTTGGTGGTGTTATTGGGCAGGTGGCAAGAGAGAAGGATGAGCGCCAAATCAGAAGACAGATTGCTCAGGCTGCCTTTGTTTAATTTGTTATTGTTTGTCTAGCTGTATATTGAAATCAAAATGTATCATTAAGCTTTGTTTATGACTCCAGATGAAGTCTTCGAAGATGGCACACATTTTCGGACATTCACCGACAGTAGCACTACGCTCCTTAAAAAAATTGAATGATACAGGCATTAACGTTAAAGTGTAATCAACTTGATTTTTCATTACGTACAAGGATTTACAGAAACTTTTTGAGGATGGACACTATACCCCTGACTACTTACCGCGTCGTTTACACAACCACGGCAAGCATAGTCATACTCTTAAACCTAGTTATTATTGTCTCATCAATACGAAGTGGCCAAACTCTGAGCCAGACATCCCTAATCACGTTCTGGCTCTGCTGCTTCGACTTTCTAGTCGCATCAACCGACTTCATAATCGGCGCCACATCCCTCTCCCTCCACCAAACAATAGCCAACCAAACAATACCCCCATCAACAACACTCCAAATATGTCACATCCACGGATTCCTCCACATCCTCGGCGGATCAACATCCCTCCTCCTCTGCCTCGCCCTAACACTCTCCCGCTACTCAATCATAATCCACAAACGAACAATATCCCGGAAAATAACACTCACTTCCATCACAATCATCCTCCTCTTCGCAAGCACAGTCGCCAGCCTCCCTTTCATCATGAACGACCCGAATATATACACGCTACATCCAAGTAACTTGTACTGCGCGACGGATTGGTCACAGAAATCAATCAAATCACGCGTGCTTATAGCTATAAACTTGTTGACGGTGATACCGCCCGTAACTTTCATCGGGTTCGCGTATTGGAAAATGTATCACGTCGTGAGTTTACAATGCCGGACTGCGAGTGGCGTCTTTCGGGAGGCGAGGTTACGCGCGGAGATGAAGGGACGGTCTGGAGAGGATGACGGTGATTATCCACAGGACTTGTCGATTCCTGTTTCGACAATGCCGAGGACTTCTTCAGCGACGGTTGTGGAAGTACATCAGGCTGTGTCGTATGCGTTGGAGGATGAAGCGTTGCAGGAGGAGCAGAGACTGTTACTCCAAAGTTGGATTATTGTCTTGGCGTTTCTGAGTGGATGGAGTCCTTATTTGATTGGTCAGTTCAAGAAGACTTCTATCTTTCGAAAATTTTAATTCTTTTACGGATACAGTTATGATTTACGAAGCGATCACGACGAAATCAGTATCGGCGGAATATGACTTCGCGGCTATTTACTGCACATTGCTGAATCAGGGCTTTAATCCTGTAATTCTTATTGCTTATAAACGAGACGTTCGAGAGAAGGTTGTGAAAATGATATCTGGACAGAGTTTGCTGTAATTGAAAGTGAGGCGCAAGGTTAACTGGCGAAGCATATAAAATATAACATGTTCGTGGTCAACGTAATCCAGTGTACCATCCTATTAGCTTAAAATTTCTAGTAAGCTCCTAGCTCCACTCATTTGAGAATTTGTCTTGAGTGCTTTAAAGAATGTTTAAGATTTGTTCAACTATATTTAACGATTACAGAATATCCTAAACCCCCAAACGAGATTCCAGGGTCATCCAGTACAATTTTGCATTACGTGCAAGTCGTTGAGATTTACAAAATGGTCCCCTTAGAGTCAGAACCCTGCTTCACTTTCATACAAATTAACACAACCAGTGACATAATCAGTTTGGACCAATTAGCTTGTGGCTGTCCATTATAGTTGCCCTTGTTTATAATACGGAAATTTGAAAGAATATCTCCTCATGGGTGTTCTAAACCGAACTTCTGTTGTTGTGTGTTTAAATGTTGTTTATTTCGACCAATAGGATAGACTGCATCGGAAATTTCAGAGAAGATAATCCACCACTATTTATCGAGATTTACAATTTCTTTACTCCACCGTTGAAATTACGCGATGGAAATCTCAACAGTTGATACCACCCGAATCATCTTCACATCAACAGCGTGCCTGGCGACCTTTTTAAACATCACAATCATATTCGCAACAATCTGGCGCACGAAAGAGCTCAATTCAACGTCCCTTATAACGTTCTGGCTTTGTTGTTTCGATGGTCTTGTCGCGTCTGTCGACTTCACAATCAACGTCTCAACCTTAACCCTCCACCACGTCATCGATTCCACAACGTTCCAAACTCACACATTAAGTTCAACAATATGTCAAATCCACGGATTCCTCCACATATTCGGTGGTTCAAGCTCCCTCCTCCTCTGCCTCCTCCTCACAACATTCCGCTACTCAGTCATAATCCAAAAACACGTCCTATCCCGAAAACGCACAATATCATATATCACCCTCGCAATCACAGCAGCAGCAACGTTCGCAGGCCTCCCCTTCATCCTCCACGCACCAGAAATATACATCCTCCATCCAAGCCAAGAATACTGCGCAACAGACTGGTCCCAACAAGGCCCCAAGCCCCGCGTAGTCGTATTCATAAACATCATGACAGTAATCCCACCCGTCTCGTTCATCGGATACGCGTACTACAAAATGTATCAGAACGTATCAAAGCAGTGTCGAAAAGCGAGCGAGGTTGTTCGAAACGCGAGGCTACACGCGGAAATGAAGGGCCGTACTGGATCTGATACTGAGTTTGAGAGTTCGTATGTTTCGCAGAATAATCAGGGGACGTCTTCGGAGACTGTTGTGAATGTTCCTGAGTATTCACGGGGTTTGGAGAAGGAGGCGGAGGAGGAGGAGAGACGGCTTTTGAAGCAGAGTGTTATTATTGTTTCGGCGTTTTTGATTGGTTGGAGTCCTTATTTACTTGGTGAGTGCCTTCCGGCTCTAGATGCTTGTGTCGTTGAATATATTATCGCTCAGTTATGGTTTACGAGGCGATAACAACCTCGTTAGTGCCGCCAATTTATGATTTCCTCGCCATATTTTGTACAGTTCTGAATCAAGCCATTAATCCAATGATTGTTATTACGTACAATTCTGAAATTCGAAATAACTTAATCTTTTGGAAATGAAGCTTTCATAAAACAGTTCTTTCATAATTACGCCAAAAAAATATCTAGGTTCTATTATACAAGTACGTTTGTAATTCTTCGGCACGACATACTTTATCATCTAAGCTGCAGACCATGTATCTGCTATCTCCTATTTGCATGATAACTCGACTTCATCCGCGAATGTATGCCTACCACCACTGGTTCGGAAAAGCGTATATCCTGTCGATTCTCTGGGCGACAGCTTCGTCTCTCCTTATCCACAACAAAGGTCTTCCCACTGGTGTTATCTTTTCTTTCGCGTGGGTTTTGTTGGGTCTCACGTTTGGATGGCTTGCCATCACGTTGCACACCAAGCGTGTATTCAAGTCGAAATCTCCGGCCTACGATGGGACGAACAAGTGGTTGCTGATTTACCACCAAATGCTGACCCTCAAGGCCTTTCATGGCTGTCTCATGTTTGTCAGTTGGATCAACGTTGCAGGTGATGATGATGTTATCTATCTATCCTCAAAGTAAAAGTTCTGAACAACGCTTTTAAACATAAGGTCGACTCTTTGTCACAAAACTTGAACCCGACTTTGGATGCTACAGCTACCCAGTTTACAAACAAGTCTCTTCCAAGGACTACACCTACATTCCTGGATCACCAATCGAATATCTTCCTGTACATGATCCAAACTATACTAGAGTTCCATGGGCTAATAAAGAAAGCGCTTGGGCAGCGCATTTGCCTTCTAAGCAAGTGGTCGTGGGTTCGATCCCCACCTTGGGTGCTTTTGGCAATGTGGTCTCAGTTGGATTAATGGGGTGAAGTGGTTGGGGAGCGCACACTGTGGCAACCACGCAATTCCTTGGCCGGCCTTTATAAAACCAATACAGAAGGCTCACTGAGGCTCATAGCAAGCAGCCTTGAAATGCTGTAGTCTTGATACAGGCAGCGACCTCATCAAGAGAGAGTCGTGTGAAGGCCTGCAATAAGAGTATTTAACTCCATAACAACAGCCAATTTGACGCCATAACAACAGTGCACCATTGTAGCAAGCACTGAAATACGTCACGACTTGATTTTCAGTTCGTGAGGATTACTTTCCCATGTCACTTGGCAAGCAGTTCCTGACAAGGAGTTTGGATAATTTACATTTCGGCAATTTCGAAGTTTGTCGGTGCAGAAGGGTAGAAAAGGCTCTCTTGCAGAGCACATGTAGGCCTTCACTCGGATACAAGAGAGATTGTACCATTCTCGAGTCGAACAGAGCAGCTGAACCGTGGGAACAATAGAAATCGAATCTTTTATTATATACAAGCATCAACGGCTACAGTTGACAAGTTAAATTTATTATTTACATCCATCTATTCGTACTCGTTGGTTGCTTGTTACAATAAACAATAATACAAACTCAAAGACGCGTTTTCCTACTAATTTCCCCTTCCACATCGGAAGGGGTACAAGAAGCCAAACTTTTCTTATTTGAGTGTCTGCCGATCATAGTGAAAGCTTTGCCAGTGTTGGATCGGGTATATTGTGGAAATCGAGGTAGACTTGGGCAAAAGTGTGTGATTTCAAACAGACATTGACATGGACACAGTTTTGAAGAGCCATTCTTGGTGGTAGTTTGTTGTTGCTTGATTCTTGTATCTTTGGAAAGGTAGTCCCCTTCTTCTTATAACCTTTCTATTATCAAGTTGTTTGGTGGGAAGGCAAGTCAATCCAGGCCATGAACCTCTTTTCACCATGGGGCTCTTTCCCGAACAATTTCTGCTCAGAAAAGTGAATGACCCTCTTCCAAAATGATAGGGTTCAACTAACCAACATAAGAAGTTATTTGGACCAAACCAGATGGTACAGGTATAATATAATAAAGGAAATAGTCATAAAGAAAACATAGATTTATTGAAGTCACGTAACCAAGAAAACGCAGAAATAAACAGAGTTAAAGTAAAGAGTAAACCAGATTGGATCCTGTTCACAAGGGGAATAGAATTCCCAGCTGTCTGACATGTCACAACCGGCAAGTGAACCGCTATGGAGCACTGCCATGGGTCCAAACGGACTTGAGATGTGACACGCCAGCCAGCCTGAACAAGAACCAAGTGGACCAGTAGCCTTTAGACGCGTCGATCCAGATCAGAACCTGCTCACAAGGGGAATAGAATTCCCAGCTGTCTGACATGTCACAACCGGCAAGTGAAC